GGCCGGCTGACGGTGCCTGATGATTCCCGTGCCCGCAGCTGGTGGCAGACGAGAACGTGCGCGCCGTGGTCACCCTCAACGAGGAGTACGAGACCCGCTTCCTCTCCTGCTCCGCCCAGGTGAGCCCGGAGAGCTTGCCGTGCCCCCCGGGAAGGGCCTCTCGTCGCTTGTACCGGCTTTAGCCGCCGCCTGCTGTGATCCTGGCAGCGACCGCCTTTGGCAGGACAGACCTGGCTCCTTCCTGCCTAAGCCGACTTTTAAAACTGTGCGACAGAGCAGTAAAACAAGAGAATGCAAGTAAAGTGTGACAGCTACAGTGACGGAGAAGTAAGGAGAGCGTTAAATCCCCGTACATCACCATGTAAATAAAATAATTCCTTTTGCTTTGGAACGAGATCCCAGTTACCCTCCTTTCCTTTAGCTGATCCTTACCTTTTCAGTTCCCTTTAATTTTTCCTTTTTTCATAGCCAGCACTAAAGTTTTCATACATCTGATTTAAAGGACTGACATTCAAAGTCTGCTTACAACCCCACTGAATTTCCCAACTGTCTCAACAGGTTCTGGGTTTTCTTTCTGGAAAAACAAAAGTTAACTGATTGAATCTGCTATATCCGTTTCAGGAATGGGAGGCAATGGGAGTGGAGCAACTGCGTCTCAGCACCGTGGATCTAACTGGAGTCCCCACCTTGGAAAACCTCCAGAAGGGTGTTCAATTCATAATGAAACACCGAGCGTGTGGCAACAGTGTCTATGTGCACTGCAAGGCAGGACGCTCCCGCAGTGCCACCATGGTGGCAGCATATTTAATTCAAGTAAGGAGGATTCTATGCTAAATGGGGTTTCTTTTCATACAGCCTAGGCAAATACAGCCAGTCATTACAGTTTGCTGTTCCTCAAGAAGTTTGAGTGTGTACAGGTGCATTAATATTCCATGATTTTAAAGATTTTGGACTGGAGACCCATTTGAAGAGAGGTAGATGGCTAGGTCCTTAATAAACTTCTATTACTGTTTTGTATAACATAGCAAGTGCAAGGTAAATGTATGAGTGAAACTTAATGTTGGCTGAACTGCAATCTAAGCTATCTTTGATAGTGTAGGTATCTTTGCACACCTTGTTCGTTTGCACATACTGTCAAGATAACGTTTCCTGGCAATGAGATGGTGGTGAGGCTGCGACATAGCTGCCGTTGTAAGTAGTCTTTTCATTCATCTGTACAGTCTGCCTCTGCCAGCTCAGTTATTAGCACAGGCACCGGCAAAGATGTTCTGATTTTATGGGAAAGAGCAGCTGTTGTTGCAACAGAGCTTTGTAACACATGGTCTGATAGTATCTGTTGCTGGTAGATCAGTCAGACTTCAGGAAGCTGCTCAGCTTTCTGGACCATTAATATAGGAAGTTCTCAGCAGGCTTTGAATGTTTCTGCCATTCTTAATTCTTTCTATGCAGTAACAGATTGAGATGGCAAGAAGCCACCAGTTGTGCACGTAGGTTCACTGAGCATCCATTTTTGTTGTTTAGATTTTCTCCTCGGTTAACTGAAACGGTGAGCCTTTCTAAGCTTTTCAGTAAATACAGTTCAGGATCAGGAGCTGTGACTTTTTTGAGTTCTTCCATAGACCCAACTGGGTCAGCCAGCACTAAGAACAAAATCCCACCCATGAATTCTTCTGTTGGTGTTAAGTGCTCCCTGGAAAATTTTTCCTCAGTGTTAAAGGGAAAATTTTCTACATGCTGAAGTGCAATGGGAGCACTAGTAAAGTTTTTGAAAAATTAAAAAAGGGCAAGCTGCACTTTTCCTCTGATCTGGTGGGACTAGGACAGGAAGCTCTTCACAACACAATGGAAGCACGAGAAAATGGAAGTCCCAGGCAGCAACCATCCCTCTTTAACCGAGGAACTCATTTAATGAACTTGAATTGACATTTGGGCCCCTCTGAGAGGAACATGAAGTAAACAGAAGGGGCAAATAGCAAGTTTTCTATCAGCTCTTAACATCACCTGTAGCGTCCAGGAAGGCTCCATTACCTGGTGCAGGGATGGAATGGATTTTCACTTGCAGGGTTTCTGCCTTTTCAGCTGCATCACTGGAGCCCTCAGGAAGCAATAGAAGCTATTGCCAAGATCCGTCCCCACATCCTCATTCGGCACAAGCAAGTCCAGGTCCTGGAGATGTTTCACAGGAATGTGATCACTGAGACAACTGCATAGTGTTAGTAAGAACTACCAAAATCTCTGTCTTGGCTGCTATAAAAAAAAACCTTACATTTTCATGATCTAACAAAGGCTTAAGCATTGTACTTCTTGACCATCAATAAAGAATTTTTTACATAAGTCACGGTAAAGGGGAGGTTGGGTTGTTTCATTAAAGCTTTCTTTCCTTATGGCTAATATCTCAGTTCTCTTGGAGCCCTATAGTTCCCTCTCCCACACAGAATCAGTGCTGAGCCAAACTGCAGTCCACAGGAAGTTCTACAATATCTGCAGCAAAGAAAAAAGACTTTGTCTCAGCAGACACTTTATTCAGATTCTTACCCAAAAGGTTACAGTGCCAACAGAGAGGGGTAGAAGGAAGTGGTCTTAATTCCATCTTTCACCAACACTATGTTATGATTACAGGTGGGGATTCCCTGTACAGTAAAGGAAGCCAATGCTCATAAAAACAATCTCCCTCTTTATGCTAGGTGATGACAGAGCAGTAAGCAAGTTCCCAGTTTGTTACTGCTCCTCTAGGAGAAGTGCTGAATAACGCAACCTACTAAAAGTCTTGGGGTCAGCTCCGGAATCTGTCTGCTGTAAATATTTCTGCCAGTCCCTCCTACAATGGGGAGACAGGAACATTTAAATGGGGACATCCCTGGAGAACACACTACACTAACTCTGTGACTGACATGGCAGCAACAGTTTCCCAGGCAGTTAAAACTAGCAGTCTGGGCCACAGAAGCTGCTGTCCATATGCTATAGGATTTGTTACTGGCAGGTTGGTTTCAGGCTAAAAAAGCCATTTGCTTCCGTTTGGGCCTCAAACGCAAGCAGCTTATCATCAAGGGATCAAAGTAATAGCATTTAGTCCATCTGAAATCTAAGATGCAGTTGTTCAACTTTAATAGTGCTATGCAAAAGAACAGGCCCACAGCCAGAAAGCCTGTATGTCCTCTGCACAGGTATAGAGGATGGGGTCTTTACTGGATGTTGTGAGCTCATAGGAATTGGGACTGGTGCTGAGGGTGGTGGGTGCCTCTGAGCCGCACAGCAGAACATTGCTGCACTTTCTATCACTGGGCCTGTTTTTCCCGCTTAGGCCAGGACAAACTGCAGGTTAGTAAGCAGCACTTTGATGCCACTTGTGACTGTTACAACAGAGGTGGCTGGGTTAAGTTTAAAAGTATTTGCATCACCCTTTTTATAGCGGTCACGAAAGACGTAGATGCTGCCATTGCAGCTGGCAATTTTCCAGAGAGATGGTACCGAGCTCCAGGCATCTGGCAGGCACAGCCGGGTGAAGCTGTCCAGTAGGGGATTATAACACAGCAGTGAATCCCCCTCAGCTACAATGAACACCACATCCTTGTGCACAGCAGCATGCATGCGCCCTGCAAAAGGCAGTACGTATGGCTTCACGTGGCATTTCTCTGTGTTGGTATCATAGCACTGAATTAGCCGAGAGGGCTTGGTGAAGAAGTCCAAGTCATTTTCCTCCCCGCCCAGCAGGTAAATGACACCGTTAAGGTTTACACCTGCAGCTCCAGAGACAGCCACTTCCAGCTGGCTGGTCTCTGTCCAGACATTGTCTCGTACTCTGTAATATATGACGGCATTAGAGAGAGTGTCCTGCAGAGTTTTCCCTCCCAGTGAATATATTGCATCCTTGCTTGGCACAGAGACAAGAGTGTGTTGGAGCCGGTCACGGGGCAGAGGGGCACACCATTCCCAGTCTATAGTTGCGTTGTTGCATTTCCACATGCGTCGCGGAATGGAGCCACCAACCACATAGAGGTCACTCCCGTGCTTGCAGGCTGCGGTGATCTGGTGACACAGGCTGTTCTGGCCACTCACGCTTATGGAGTCATCATCAGCACAGTGCAGAGAGACAGCGAGTGAATGGGTACGTGATGACTCCTTCCCAATCAGGTAAATGTGAACATTTTCTCCAATCACCTGAGAGAAATGAGGAGTGTGTCAGCAGAACTGGAACTGTTTACACAAACATTAGTGATACCCGAGGCTGATTTGTTCAGCTTAGGACCCATCTGTGGGCCTGAGATGTGTGACCTGCTTCCCAAGTCCTGCCACCCTACAGGGTTCAGCATTTAGAGCTTCAAAGCCTTTTCAAGATACCAGTCATTTCTGGCATAGCAAAATAGCAACAGACTTCACTGGAACCCAAGTGTCTGCAGTTGAGGTAAGGGCTGGTTACATCACTGAGAGAGTTATAAGAGGAATGCCATACTCAAGATTTCTCAATGGTCTCTTGGTAACTGAGCATCTAGTGAAGTAAGTTATTTGTGGCACTGCTCCAATCACTAGTGAAGGCAGCCTCAGGTTAAATTAATAAAGCTGTCAGTGGGGTTGCTATTTATGACAACGTATGTATTCCTCTCACAAGCACTATGAATTTTAATGGCATTTGTGCTCTGTAACTTTCAAGTCACACCTGTGAGCAGTATATTCTGCCTTGGGAAGCGCAAACCCAGCAAGTGCTACACCAACCCCAGGACAGAAGGTCTTTTCATACCTTCAGACTCGATCGCAGTGTCTCCGAAAAGCCTGCTCGCTCCTCCTTGTTGAAGTTGATCCAGGTTTCTATGGCAACTGTTGGATTTTGAGAACAAGGAACGCCATCTGTAGTTTGGGAACAGAAAAGCATTTATGATCTCTAGACAAAGGTGTACGTACCCAAGAAGATCCTTTTCCTGCGACTCCCTCCCCCTACTCCCACTACAAACTCTGCTTTCTAGAGAGTAAAAAAAATACAGAGGTTTATAGATTTTGGCAGGCATGATCAGCGCTGCCAGCCAGACATCTACACAAAATTAGTTTGGATAAATATCAGAAGACAGAGCTGCCAGATCTTAAGCACTTTGGATGAGTTTCAACAAAGGAACATATGTCCGAGAGAAAGAGGACAGGAAAGAGAACTCACATGCTTTAGGACGATGAAAAATACTTTCTTATTTAAGCATTTAGGCAAAAAGATTCTCTTATTTTAGAATGTCGGCAGCTGCCTTTCTTTCTGGCTGGTCCTAGAAACCTATCTAGCAAAAGTCATCTGCAGAAATCTTCCTGCTCTGACCACCGTCAGACAGCTCATGCTCAAGACTGAACATCTGGTGTTGTCGCTATCCTCTTAACATTTGGAAACCCCCAAAGAGCTACTATAGCTTTCCTTGGCAGTGCGACAGCAGGAAACACTCAACAGGCTGCTTCCGATTTCAATGTATTTCCAGACATCACTGGAAGTTTTGGTTATGCCAGAAGCTATGGCATCATTGCCATCAGCACATTACGTAGAAGATTTTAGGTATTTACTTCCAGTTTGAAAGCCAGCAGTTATGCCTGTATCCATTGAGAGGCTTCCTGATGAAGGCGCTCTGATTCTGTAGTCTGCTCTCATGACAAACTCTGAATTCAACGATGATGAAGGCATCGGACAAATACCGACACTTTTCACTACACTGGAAGGGAGGAGAAAAAGCGTGGAACAAAAGCAGGTATTTCAACTCTGTTTGTTAGTAAAGGGGATTTCCATAAGCTATCCATCACATGTAGTGGTTAAATGGAAAAATGTTGATTTTTAAGTAGGTCCTAGAGTGCAACAAAAGGTAAGCTTAATAAATTACCATTTCATGAAAATAATTTTAGTCCTCGCCACTATTAACTTCCTCTATTTAATTCTCCAATAACTAAACAAAGATGCAGGAACTACAAAACAAAAATATTTTCTCAACCAGCAGTAGGAGTATATTTCAGATTTTAATCCATTTTATGAGCTAAGTTGCAGCATAAATATTAATGTGATTCTACATATGGAAATAGATGATGCATGGAAAATAAGTTTTATTGAGCAATTATTTTAATTTAGGACCACAAACACTGAAGGCCATAGTTCTAAAACTATGGTTACTACATGGAATCCCTAGGAATTTAAGGGTGATTAACTTCTACAGCTTTGTTTCATTATTTTAGGAATTTATTTCTTAATGAACTCACAACTTAGTTTAAAAACATTAGCTAGATATTTGCCAAAATTACTTTAATTTTACCATAGTTTTTTGAACTATCAGTACATATTCTCAATAGGTTTTTTCCTGTGAATTTCTTTAGATGCAATAGCCATAATACAATGCTATATCTGTAAAGACTCTCAACTTCAAAGGCTATTTTAAGTCTTACAGATTTGCCAGTATTCCAAAGAAGGCAGTCATGGTAGGTTTATCGTTGTAACAGCATGTAAAACGCATGACAGACAAAGTACAAAGTTATTTAATTAAAGCAAGAAAGGGGCAATATCTCTGATCCCAAGTTCAGCATGTTTGAATGTATGAGTGCTTTTTCTTGCTTCCTCTAGCAATGATATATAAATGCACAAAACCAGAGTTGTGCCTGCAGCATCATGGAGAGGTTTTCAAGTACTGTCTGTATCTATTTAGAGCAGCAGAGAATCTTTAAGGATTGGTGGCAGCTGGACTAAGTTGTTCACGTGTTGACACATCCTTCACAACACTGAGTCATTGCATCTATTACTGTGAAGGCTATTACCTTTACAGGAAGGGTAATTACTGTATTACCTAAGAAGTTACGATGCCTCAGTCAGCTGAGTGCCTAGCCTAAATAATCCTAACAATTATATACAATTGTTTATAACACTAATATAGTCTTAAAATACGGCTTGCGGTCAAGCTTGTGCTCATGTTGAGTTGCTGCATTACTATATTAAATGATTACAAACTGAAGAAAAAAAAAAAGCCTTTCATAAGATGTTCTGGTAAGGCTTCTTTGTTTTACTTTTAATGCAAATAAAAATGCAACAAGTTTTTGAAAGTTACTAAGTTATGTTTAAAAAAACCTGTAATATTTCTGATCTGTTGTCTCGGAAACTGCTGGGAACTACCAGCATCCTCTACGTCCCTTTTCTATAGCTTAGATTCTTCATGTCAGGTAACAATTAATAGGGGTTTTTTTTCTGATTAAGTTATCCAGAATGTTTTGCT